GCTGATGATGGCTGCTAATTATCTCCATACATAAAGATTTACTTTCCTTTATTATTGGGTAAAATGTTCTAGTTAGTGTTGTGGAGCTTTTGGTGCGCAAATATTATCATTTCTGATTGTTTTTAGTTTTTCAATCCTTTTGATTTAGCAATGGATTGGTTATTATTATTTCTGTACGAGGTAGTTTTCAAGTTACCATCTGTCTCCTTTGTGTCTACCTTGCAGAAAGTACTCTGGATTGGTGTTCTTGCCCGAGAGGAGTATCTATGTTGTGTGCAGTTTAGCTCGCTGCTGCAATGCATAATGGTATATCTACAATTATCTTATGTGATTGACTTAGAACATAGACTGTTTTAGGCAAATGACAGCAGTTAATGCAAGACGTATGATTGATTCTCTATACAGTGAAATTACTTGAGCACAATTTTAGACTATGAATGTTTATGGACTAATTGTATGTTTAGTTCAATGGCTTTCCTTGCGCTATTATAACTTCCTATCTTCCACAAGTACCCTTATGATGCAGGGTTCCCAGGCACTCATTGCGCTATTATAACCTCGGATAGCTTTTTTTGGGGTATCGTATAACCTTGTATAGTTGTGCTACAATGCATGACTTTTTTGCTGCTTGGATTTTATGATAAGCATTTCAAAAGGCTATGTTATATTTTTCTTTAAGTATCCATGTTAGACACCCATGTCGGACACACATCCAAACATTGGTGTAACTAAATGGTGTTACCTGCTCATCGAACCCATCATAAGGCCTTGATAAACATTCGAATTAGACGTTATTTTCTTATGAGATTTCTCTGTTGCAATGTTGAGATCGAATACCAATCCTTTCAAATGTTGTCTTTAAGAACGAATGATTGAATCATTGGAGCTAAGCTCCGGGCTCAAATTTGCATGATGATAGAATTTAAAAGAAAAATGAGAAATTCTTTCACAATATTAAGAAAAATGAAACAGAAACTGGAAATTGAAGTATTGCATCCTCTCATTAATCCTCGTATTCAGCATCCTCTTTCTCGTACTCTTCTTCATCTTCAGCTGTTGCATCTTGGTACAGCTGATACTCTGAGACCAAATCATTCATATTGCTCTCTGCCTCGGTAAACTCCATCTCATCCATGCCTTCACCTGTATACCAATGCAAGAAAGCCTTCCTCCTAAACATAGCCGTAAACTGCTCGCTCACAAGCCTAAACATCTCTTGTATCGATGTCGAATTCCCGATGAACGTCGATGCCATCTTGAGACCAGTTGGTGGGATGTCACATACTGTCGATTTCACATTGTTGGGAATCCATTCAACAAAGTAGGATGAGTTCTTGTTTTGAACATTCAACATCTGCTCATCCACTTCCTTGGTGCTCATTTTACCACGGAACATAGCGGACGCCGTCAAGTACCGGCCGTGTCATGGATCGACTGCACACATCATGTTCTTTGCGTCCCACATTTGTTGAGTTAGCTCCGGAATGGTTAGAGCTTGGTATTGTTGGGATCCTCTAGAAGTGAGCGGCGCAAAACCAACCATGAAAAAGTGAAGCCGAGGGAATGGGATGAGATTCACAGCAAGCTTCCGAAGGTCGGAGTTGAGCTGGCCGGGGAACCGTAAGCAGCATGTAACTCCAGACATGGTTGCCGATATTAAATGATTCAGATCACCAACTATAGGATGCAAGCAAAAAGAAAGTAAATCAAAGTGTAATCAGATATCAAGTGTGAAATCAATGAGGAACACTTACAGCTGGGATTGGAGAGCTTAAGTGTACGGAAACAGATATCATACAAGGCTTCGTTATCAAGAACCATACACTCATAAGCATTTTCAACCAGCTGATGAACAGATAAAGTAGCATTGTAAGGCTCCACCACTGTATCAGAGACTTTAGGCGACGGGAAAACTGAGAACGTTAACATCATTCGATCTGGGTATTCTTCCCTTATCTTCGAAATCAAAAGTGTCCCCATTCCAGATCCAGTTCCACCTCCCAATGAATGACAAACCTGAAACCCTAACGAAAAGAAACAAGCAATTAGCAAGCAAAGCTTAAACAAGTTTTCGTTTAGATCAAAATAAATCTCTGTTACCTTGAAGGCAATCACAATTTTCAGCTTCTTTTCGAACAACATCAAGGACGAAGTCGATTAACTCAGCACCTTCAGTGTAATGGCCTTTAGCCCAGTTGTTACCGGCGCCGGACTGACCGAAAATGAAGTTGTCCGGTCGGAAAATCTGTCCGACGGGACCGGATCTGATGTTGTCCATGGTTCCAGGCTCAAGGTCCATAAGGACGGCACGAGGAACGAATCTACCACCACTGGCTTCATTGTAGTAGACATTGATCCTGTCGAGCTGAAGATCTGAGTCTCCATTGTAACGCCCAGTTTGATCTATGGCATGTTCGGCGCATACAACTTCCCAAAACTTGGCTCCGATTTGGTTGTCGCATTGGCCACCTTGAATATGAAGGATTTCACGCATTTTTGTTGGTCACCGGGAGGTTTCTTCGGGTTGTAGATAATGAGGGTGATTTAAGAGTGCAGTATTATGGGGGTTTTATAATGGGATTCTAACGGAAGATGATGTAAGGCGAATCTACACGCTTTGATGGAGAGATGTAGATAGCCTTATTGTGTCCCGATCTAGGATTGACAAGTGCTGATGTCCTTGAATTTATAAGTTTGGGCTGCAAAATAAGATAAGAAATATGATTAATAATTGCCTTAATAAAGGGAATAATAATATAAGTAATGAAAATAAATAATAAGAATGAAATAAAATAAATAAAGGATAGAGATGGCTGCGGAATTGATGGAAGAGTTGGATGATGTTGATGATGAAATGGCAATGGTGGTGATATTGTATCTCAAACACGCCAAAGAGGAAACTATGCTATGAAGCACAATCCCGGTCTTCACAAACTTGCTTGAGGGGTGGTGATAGTGTCTTCAACCCACTAGATAATAATCTAGGAATTTAGGAATCAAGTTGGAAAGAATGACGCCATAAGTATAAGAAAGTATACTTGCTTAATCGATAAAGTTCACAAAAAACTTTGAAGAGAAATAACTCACAAGAGTATATTTTATATAAGAGATGAGATGCTTACAAATGAAATGACAAAGCCTATTTATAGTTTTCAAAGGGTTTAGGCCGAATAGGTACATGATGGTTCGGCTATGGATGAAACCCCTTTGAAAATACATGACTTTTAAATGAAAATACATGATTTTAATGAAGATACATTCTCTTGGCCGAATAGTAAGGTGTTGGTTCGGCCTAAGGATGTTTTGAATGCTTTTGGAAGTCATTTGGGCGCCAAAATGGAGAGGAATAAGTCTTTGGCCGAATAGGAGGCATCCTTTGGTGTTTTGGCGCCTATTTGATGTCACATGGAGTGCACATGCTTGAATGATGCACATGGCAACCTACTTGAACGCACATGGGTCTTCTTGCAAGGCTTTGGTGAGGTTGCAACCATAGGATAATGTTTTGAAGTCCATGGAATGAAGATGGCAGCAACTAGGCGTGACTTGGCTTCCAACATGCATCTAGGTGTCATGGTCTTCAATGGGCAACAACTTGTCATGAAAGGTCACATTTGTGGAAGGTAACCTTTCATCATTTGGGCTACTTCCCATGTGTATGAGCTGAAGATGAGCTGGTTATAGGTGAATTACATGAAGATGAGTCTTTGGCCAGCTCCTTGTGAAAAGGCACCTCTTGGAATGGAAACTCTTCGCGAAAAGGTACAAATCCACAAAAATTGACTTAGAACATATTTGAAGTACTCTGTGTGGTGGTGATGATGGTGCAACTCTCCAGCTGAAATGAGGTCTCTAGCTACCTCAAAAGTCCAGCTCAAGTGAGCTATGAGCTCGGGGGTCAACTGATAACTTTTCACCATTTATTCTTCATGATCTCCTGAGTCATCCTATGTAAGTTTTCCTAGCTCCTTATCCTTAGTTAAGCTCAAATATAGCTCCCAAGTTTTGGTCGAATATTCCTACATGCATAACATAAAGAAATAAACTAAGTATATAAACTATATAATGCATATAATATAATGATGTGCATATTATAAAGATGTGAACTATATGTTATAATAATAACTCATGCATCATATGATAATGAATGAATATTAATATTATAACTATAGATTATATACATGAATATCAATCAATGATACAAACCATAGGATATAATGAATGAATGCACATTCAAGTATAGTCTAATGTGAAAATGGTGCTAAGCTTAATTATGGTGCTAAGTTATAAATAGATTTTTGCAAGTTATAAATGGTGCTAAGCTTAATTATGTGATATTATTTGAATAATTAAAATATGTATTTTAACATAACAAAAATATTATTTAAAAATATAATTATTTTCCTAATCTAAATCAAATATTGTAGAGACAAGAAAGATACTCCAATTACTCCATTCTTAAACGTCAATTTAAAAATATTATATCAACTAATAATCTTTTTTTATATAATTATTGTATTAATGTGAACACACATTAAATATATTCTAATGATTGGAATCGTATCATACAAGTGAATTATAAGGGAACAACAATTATTCATCAAGAGAGCCTATGTTTTTAAACTAGGCATGGCCCAAAAATTTGCCAAAGTCTGGCACACACTAAAGACTTAAACCCGGTTCACTTTGCTTAATCCAAATCTCTCCGTATCGGCCCATAAGCGAAATGAAAATTTTCCCTGAAACTTGGAGATCAATTTGCACCGGAAATGTCATGCTTAAAACATTAGACAAATTAGGTAAAATTTCACCCAACAATATATATATATATATAGTGTTACCATCAATACATTCTCGAATTCATTGTAACCATCAAATACTCAAACCTATCAAATCGCAACAGAAATGAAGACAACAAGAAATATTTATGACTTACCATCCATCGATACTAAAATACTTATGTCTAGCTACCAAGTTAAAACTTAAAATAGAACTCTGATGGAACTTGGAAGCATTAATAGCACACACATGAATGCCCCATTTCACTAAATCAAGACAACTAAATCCATACCACAATCAAATTAAACTTCTGGTTTACTCTCATCTTCATCCTCTTCAATCTTGGGTGCCAAATACAACCTAATATAGCCCATCTCGGCTATCTTGTACTCAACCACAACCGGCAATTCAGAAGACAAGCTGATTGTCACAGTACTTGACAATGGAGTAGCCTTTGTAAACGAGTTCATGTACCTCAATGCGAATGTCAAAGAAACCGGCTCATTCATCTCTATGATTGTTGCTTCTTCTGGCTGCAAAGTGTATTTTAAAAAATTTTAATAGGACACCAAATTAACCAACTTAGATTGTACAAAATTACAATCGGGAAAAGAATAATAATAATTTGGCTGAAAACTGTAAAAGTTCAATAAGTTTAATGATTATTTTGTAACTATATGATAAATTTAATTATCATTTTATAAGTTCAGTAACCAAAACAATCATTTAAGTCTAATAACTACTAAAATCGCAGTCCTAATGGGTAAAAAGCATACTTTATCCACAGAATTATTTTGCCTGAGAACAATATTTGCAGTTCCAATATCACCTCTTGTGGAAAACTTCACACCTTCCTTGGTTACAGAGATAACAACTGCAAAACACATCAAACAAGAGTTTACTTTGAACAAGCATGTGAAACCAACATAATGGATGTTACCACAATCGATTACGGTCAGTTCTGTTCATAACATCGATAGTATTCCATAAAATAACAACAATGATATCACGAATATATACAACATCAAATCATTTAAAGCTAAAGGTTCAGTAGTACCAGTATCACCGATGCTAGCAAGATCTTTACAAATCCTTGCAAACTCAGCTGAAGGCATCCTAACAATGGATTGGTATTCCGCCTCTGGAATTCCAAGGTGCTCGCTATCAATATCCATCAGCTTCATCTCAAAATCCGATATCTTGTCTTGTGCTTTAGTCCCATTAACGCGTACATAAAAAGCTCAAAGAGTGTCATATCATCTTTATATTGACAACAAAATCAGCAATTCTTTAAGAATCTATCTTGAGTTAAAACCAAAACACCAAGAATAAAAGATACCAAAAGAGCCCATAGAAACGATGAACTTACTGGGGCTCTCGAACATGAAAGTAACGGTATCGCTTCCATCATCGGCCTTGAGCGTGATGATATCATCATTCCCGGAACATTTAAGCATCTTGGACATGTTATTGAGATTCATTCCCATGGATATGTTCCTGTCGCACCGATAGTGCTCGAAACCTTCCGATCTCAGCAACAGAGCCACCAACGCTACGTGGCTTGAATCCATGGCTTGCAACGAGAACCCCGTCGCCGAACAGTCGAAGTTCGCATCATTGACCAAGTCCTTAATCGCTTCCAACACTTTCTTCAAAAGCGAACCTTGAACTAGCCTAAGCTCAAGCATTTTTGGGCCTTTTTCTCCTTCGATTGCTTTTCTTTGGGACAAGATTATGAATTCTAGGGTTATGGTTGTATAAAAGGGAAAGAAATTTCGATTCGTGAGACTCAATTGGCGGGACTTGGAGTGATTTGGTTCCCGCCAAAGAATTTAGTAAGGGGGGCGGCGGGTAAGGATTAGGCGGTTCCGTTTGTATAAAAACATATTTTTATATTTTTTATTTAATTGAAAATGTTAAAATATTAATATTTTAAATTAAGTTCACTCTAAATTATTATGATTTTCTACCTTAAAATATTATGATTTTCATAACATTTTCAATCGAATCATTTCTTGGTGTTCTTTAACCTTAAATTATAACCCCTAATCTTTTAAGATTAAAGAACAACTAAAAACAAACGCGATCGAAAATATATCATAATATTTTAAGTTTGGAACTATCTAAAATGTTAAAACAAAGTTTTTAACCCAAAATTATTTTAAAAAATTAACATTTAAGTTATATCCAACCTAAAATTTTATGATATTTTATATAAAAAAGAATTTATTACGTCTTTATAAAACTTTTTATTACGCCCTTAAATTAAATTATCTTTCCTTAAACACTCCTTTAAATTAGTTTTGATTTTCTTTAAAATTAATTTATATTTATAAAAACTTAATGACATTTAACTCTTTAAGTGTTCTTAATGGAAATATTTTATTTTATTTTATATTACATTTAATAAGTATCTAATTTCCTTTTATTGATTTTGCAAACATTAACAATTTATTTATTTAATAGTTTATTTATTTAATAAAAATTTTGCAAACATAGTATCTTGAATATTTTCAAGGGAGCTTTAACCAAAGCATATATATAAAAACTAGATATGTATATATTCTGAATATTTTCAAGGTATGAGGATTGAATCCTGCTTACTATAATTAAAACTTGAACACACTAGTAAAAGTCCACAAACTAGTGAAAAACAATACAGTAAAACACAACTGAGTGAAATGGAGACGCAGGGTTTCTCGCTTATTTTCGTTTTGCTAAACACAAATTATTTAGGAAAGGAAATCCGAAACCCTACGGCACATGGCACTCTTGGATGTTCCAGATTTCCTTAGCATACTGAGCTATAGCCCGGTCGCTGCTGAACTTGCCGCTCCCTGCTGTGCTTAGTATAAACATCTTTAGCCACCTATTTCGATCCCTGATGAGTCAACATATGACATATATCATTTCCTTTCTGTAACTCGAACCATTCAGCTTAAAACCAAAAAGACATACTTGTAAGCTTCATCTACTCTGGCTTGAGTATCCAAGTAATCTGGATATCATGACCAACAAGGAAATAATCAGCTCTACTGTAACCCGACTCATCCTCTAGAGAGTCGAGAAGTGGGTTGTAGTCATATCTTCCAAATGCTCCACTTCTTATGTATTGCTTGGCCTCTTCAAACCGAGGATCGGGTTTGAACTATTGGATAAGATAGAAATAGTATTACACAAGGGTAAAACAATGCAAATAGTTACAACGTGCACGACTAACTAGCATTTTCATCAACTTTCAGCTTCAGACAATAGGAGAAACGTATATGGATGGATATATAAATCATAATTCATACCAATCCGTTCTCTCGGTCCTTGCGCAACCTAGGGACTTCATCAGATCTTGCACCGAAAAGAAAGAATTTTTCCTCCCCAATTTCCTCACGGATTTCCACATTAGCACCGTCCAGTGTTCCGATTATGAGGCAGCCATTTAGAGCAAATTTCATGTTGCTTGTCCCACTAGCCTCAATACTTGCAGTACTAATATGCTGGGAAAGTTCGCTTCCTGGAATAAGCATTTCAGCTACGGATACATTGTAGTTTGGAACAAATACCACCTGAAAATTCCCGATAATAGAAGAACAAAAGAACCATAAGTTCAGAACATACTGCTTTGTAGGATGAATCCGACATAATTGGAACATAAGAATTAACACATCAAAACGTTTACCAAAAATTCTGCCCAGTGACAAAAGTAGTACAATTGAAAAACAAGAAAAGAACATATGAGAATTATCATACAGCCTACCGAGGCCCTAGACTTGAGGAATTTTGTACCAATTACACAATTATAACTACTTTCCATTTACACTGCGAGTAAGTTAGGTCAATTCCGCTGGTTACTAGTCTTCAAAGTTCCACAAATATGATACAAAATATTGTATAGCAGAAATGGGAAAATTAGTTCAAACCTACACAATAGTGATATCGAAAAGTTGAAAGTACGAGTAAAAAAAATAATTAATTCACCTTCAAATAGCTATCGACTTCAGGATCATTGTTGACTACTTCACCAACATCATTCACCAATTTGACTATTCGTTTAGCATTTGTATAAGTACCAAATGCTTTCCCTCCTATCATAATAGTGCGAGAAGTTGTATTTTTCCGCTGCTCAGGATTAGCTTCAGGAAAATAAATCAGTGTGAATTATTTGATCATTGACTTTGAGTTGATATAAACATTAAGGAAAGCCCAAATTTTTTTTTATCTAAAATCAATGTAATGAATGAAAAGTGAGAATGTGAGATATATGAAAGATCATAGAAGGTGAAGCAATAAGTTTGAGTTCTTAAGTAGGTAAGTATAATCTCAAGTCGTTTTCATAGCATAATTTGATTAATAGTGATAAAACCAAGATGTTAAAGGCATATTGTATTGGTGGAAATGTCAGTAAATGAAATTTCATCAAGTGAACAAAATGCCAAGAATGATCAGTATGCTTTGATACCTTTAACTTCTTGTACCTATAGATTGCACCCAAAATGTTCAGCGGCTGTCTCTTGTATTCATTAATCCGCCTAACTTGTATGTCAAATAAACTGTTTGGATCAATGCTTACTCCTGTTACACGCAATATGTATCGTGCCAAACGTTGTTTATTAGCCATCTTAGCAGATGCTCATTCATCTTGAAATTGTGCATCATCAGCAAAATGTTGGAGAAGCATAAGTTCAATATGCAACATTACTGCAGCTATAGGTTTGAAAAAGATACAGAATGCATAGTCCATAGAATTATCCCGATGCAAACTTTTTCTAAGACCAGAAAGCAGGTCAAGGTTGGTCACCCATTGATCAGTTTTTAGCCACTTGGTGATCATGTTACTGAGCTCTGGATTGCAAAACCGAAGCCATCGACGTGGAGTAATGCCATTAGTCTTATTTTGGAACTTGGTGGGCCATATAGAGACGTAATCAGAAAACAACTCTGCCTTTAAGATGTCACTGTGCAGCTGCGCTACACCATTCACCTGAAAAGAGGCCAAAAACAGTAAGTTAATTTGAATATCATGTGAAGTATCATTGAACAGCTGAAAAGTAGTACTTTTGAATTATGAAAGACAAAAATAGATCTTCCGACTACAATTTTATAGTCTTGGTGGCTATCATAGAATGATTTTACTTACTGTATGTGCAGATACCACACATAAGTTTGCCATCCTCATTACTGGTTTCTGGGGATTATGATCCAAGATACGTATGCTAGGAAGCTTATGCTCAAGATCAGGATGGTTGTCCTTGATCATTGTAAGAAACTGCAAAAACTTAAAATTTACAATTAGCACACTCTTGACAAATAGAAAAGAAAAGACAAGTGAATTACCCTTTTGTCAATTTCTTCTATGATTTCCATGTGGCGAGGAAGAAGCTTCCACATGACAGGTTGAGACCACTTTTCTAATGCTTCAGGAAGGACAGTATGATTGGTAAGCAATTGTCCTGATTCAGTTATTTACATTTACTTGTGTCAAAAAAATCTGATAGCAAAATATGCCATAAAGCAACAGAAGCTACTATAACACTCTTAGAAGTTGAACTAGGCACCTTGTTGTCACATCCCAAGCCTTATCCCACACAAGTTCTGTTGAATATTCAAGCAGCCGGCGGCTGCTATTAAATCAAGTGGGAGGCTGCTTATTCTTTTATTATTTTGTAATAGGGTTAACTATAAAATTGAATCATTGAACTTTAGGGTATTTACAAAGATTAGTCCCTAAGTTTCAACTATAAATACCCTAGCTCATTTAGCTTCAAAATCATCCCAAAATCTTCCAGTTCTCTCTAAAGTGTGTTCTGTAAACACCTGTAAATTTTCTCTTTAGTAAAATATCTGCAGTAGTCCGGAGACGTAAGCACAATTGGCTGAACTCCGTTATCAACTTTTCGGGTATTATTTTTCCGCTTTTATTTCGCATTCTCACAAATCTGGTTATAGGGAAATTACTTGTACTCGGTTTATTTCCTAACAACTGGTAATCAGAGCTTTTGGTTGTAAATTTTGTCAATTTTTGCGAGGTTACTATTCATTACTATTCACGTGAATAGTAAATTTCATGAATAGTAAAAATTTTGTCGGCGATACGAATTTGTCGACGGAGGTGTTATAATACACGGTGGTTCGCACAAATTGTCAGAAACGATCCAAAGAAGCCAGAATCGAGTGGGAGCAATAGCTGCAGACGAAGGGAATGTGAAAATTGAAAAGTTTAATGGTGCGGACTTTGGCTTTTGGAAGATGCAGATTGAAGATTTTTTGTACCAGAAAAATCTATATCAACCCCTCTCAGGAAAGCAACCAGAGGGCATAAAGAATGAAGACTGGGCTCTTCTCGATAGACAAGCCCTCGGAGTCATCCGACTGACGTTGTCTCGAAATGTTGCTTTCAACATAGCAAAGGAAAAGACCGCAGCGGGTCTTATGGCGGCTCTCTCCAGTATGTATGAGAAGCCATCGGCCTCAAACAAAGTTCATTGATGAGACGATTATTCAATTTGCGGATGACGGAAGGGGTATCGGTGGCACAACACCTAAATGAACTCAACACAATCATAACCCAGTTGAGTTCAGTGGAAATTGAATTCGATGATGAAGTTCGAGCTTTAATTCTCTTATCATCTCTACCGGACAGTTGGAATGCTACTGTTACAGCAGTCAGTAGTTCTTCGGGAAACAGCAAATTAAAATTCGACGATGTTCGGGACCTGGTATTGAGTGAAGAAATTCGACAGAGAGAATCGGGTGAAGCATCAACCTCCTCAGCCTTGCACACGGAGTCTAGAGGGAGAACTTCAGAAAGAAATTCAAATCGTGGCAGATCGAAATCCAAAAGGGAAAAATCAAGAACAG